TTCAACAAAATCCGTCGAACCGTTTTCTCAGAAAATTGCCAACAAACGTACGTACATACAGACGGAAAAAAATTTTATTCTTTAAAAGTTGCTTAAAATGGCCTAAAACGTCGACATTTGATGAAATTTTGAAATGTTCAAAAAACGGCTATCGCAATAGCTACCTAGCACATGCTAGGAAGCTAAATATATGTAAAACTTGAAGAAAGTGTTTTTAAACTCTCGTTCAATTGACACACTCGCTACGCTCATGTGTCAAACTTTGAACTCGAGTTGCTTCGAGTCGAAAATACTTTCTTTTCTAGTTGTATAAATAACTATTGTACAACTTGTGGAGAAACGATTCCAATTTCAAAAATAAGATGATTTGCTACAAGGATTTTTTATTGTAATTTTTGTATCATTTCTGGAATAAAATAAAGACTTTAGTTATAACATCTATTATGTAGTTTTTTCCGCGTCTAGTAGCAGTGATATATACAGGGCGTCGCGTTTAAAAACAATACGTTAAGGTCTTAAACTGGAAGTTGAAAAAAAAGATATTATAGTTATTAAAAGCATCAATATTTGTTATATAAGCACTCCAATTATAAAAAAAAAAATGCTTCATAAATATCGGAGATAATCCACCGATCTGATATATGGCTGATTCAAAATTAATGTCACTGAAAGGTCAAACGTAGACGTGGGTTTGAAACTCTGCTAAAATCGATGTCACTGAACGCTCCAACGTAGACTGGGGTTCTTGCTTGAGCCAAAGTAGTTCTGAAGTCAAATGGTTCTGAACTAGGGTCATTTTGGGTTCTTGTATAAGCTAAAGTATAGTTGTGATTGTTGCCTTCTATAAAAAAAAACAGGTCAGAGTAATATATGGCCGATTCAAAATCATACCAACACCCCTAAAAGATCGGTGTTTTGTCTAAACTAAAATGGTTCTGAGCTGTGATCATTCAAGGTAGTAACTCGATCGTCGTTGTATTCTCTCTCTCAAAGGTGTCTTGTAGAGCTCAAATAGTGGTAATGAGTTTTTGTTTAATTTTTTTGAATCTTTAAATATCATAAATAAATCAAAAAAGGAAGGACATCCTTAATCTTGGACATAGTGTATATTCAAAACGTTGTTGTGGTACCTACCTAATTTTGTGTTTGAATTCGTGAGCAAACCCATAGAAGAAAGTCAAGTTTCAGGAAACTGGAAAGAGGAGAAATCTTTAATAAATTAATCAATCATAGGATGGATCGCATACTATTTCGATTTCTTTTCGGTAAGCCTTAATATAATATAAAGGGGGGTTATCTTGTTTAAATCGGTTTTTCAACTGACTCTTTTCATGTACTCTTGGCTCATGTTTTGGACCCTCCAGTCTAAAATGTACGAGAAACATTCATTTTTCAATCAATCGGAAACAAATTATCCTTTGGTACTCTTCACTTATTTAAATAGGGTTCGTTTTTCGAATAACTGATCGTAATTTTTTTATTTAACGGTAGTGAAAGTCTTTCTGAAGGAGCTTAATAAGTTTGAATTTCAGGTTTCTATTCCATGCGGGGTAAATAAGTGAACTCACTTTGCCGATGTAGTATTTATATGTTTATCTGTGATAATAGTTTATTTAGCTGTGGGGAAATAGCAATAGTATACTATTGATCCCTTTGAAAAAGTAACACTCTCAAAAATGACGGAAGGGATAACAGAGGCCCTATTTATAGAAACGTATGGATTTTGTATTGCAGAGCCATTCTTCCTTCAATCGTTTCCATTTCACTGTCTGAATTTGATTAAAAGAAGCGTACCTTGTTTTGATATAACAATAGAGACGAACAAAAGCAACTCGAAATGATTTCATAAAAGCTAATGCGGCCGTAAAATCCAAAACTAATTACAATTTCTAAGACAATATTCCCCATTCTTCTTTTTTCAATGTTTAATTAAATTAATAAAGTATAATTAGTATTATCTTAATTGGATCGTTAGAATCCAATAAAACTTAACGATTACGAAATTACGAAAACTTTTCGCAAAGCTCTATTTCATTGTTAATTATTGCGATTATTTGCAGCACAATAAAATGAGACAGTGTGACATATTAAAATCGTTTGTCGTTTTTGTTACAATATTGAGGGATCTCTGCTCTGCCCATACGTGAAGGGCATAAAGACTTCGCCAATCGATAAAAACGTACCCTCACTTATATTTCTTAACCGCTTAAAATAATGATGTTACTTTTTGCATAATTTGAACATTACTGGGCTAGATTTTAAAAGTATAAAAAAACGTTAAAAAACTCGTTAGTTTTATGCACGCATAAGGCAAAATTATTTAGATAACGCTTGGACTGCGTTTCAAGTCCCTTTTTCGTGCTTGGCATTTGTAATTTTTCTATAATTTTGTATTTAGAGAACAGTAACGTATAATTTTCTCAGATTCGAGTTTAATTTAAAAATTGATTAATCGGGCGCTCTTTTTGCACGTGACTCACCACAATAATTAAAAAGTCAAAGATTAACAATGTGAATATGCAACTTCGGAAAGTAAATTAAGAAAATTTAACGTACATTTAATCTTGATTAAATTCGTTTTCCGGAGTTGACGATGAAAGAAATTTTTCCCCTCCGAAAATCTAATTAAACCAGATTGAGTCCATCTAACTTTTAATAACTCACGTAATAGATTTCCGGTTCTGTGGGGGCCTAGATTGAGGAATAATGAACATTTTGTTAAGGTAACTTATCTCGACGGACATCTGAGTTGGGTTAGATAATAAATGCAAGCTTGTCAATGCGGTGCGCCGACGTAATTGGTTTTCTTGATTTACACAAAATTTAGTTACGTAAGTTTCTTTCGCTCGTTGACAAAATCGCATTACCACACATCAAGGAGACGCGCGCCATCAGAGGAACGCAATCTTCCTTCAAATTAAGCACGAAACTTTCACACAAAAGGCGAATTTTAATTAAAATCCTCACTTTTCGCGTATACAGACGTTGAATTTACTTTCGGTCTAAAAGAAATGGAAGCCGACAAGAGCGTGTAATCTAAGTACACACAAGTCCTCGAGGTTTTGAAAAAAAGTTCTTTGGATCGGCTCCAAAAGAACCAAAGTCAAGGGAACGCTTACGCTTACAAAGCGTTTACAAATTTAGCTAGAAGAAACTATTTCTGGAGGACGTACCTACTATGTATATACTTAAAAACGAATCATCCACCATAAACGACTAATTTAGCTAACAAAGACCGTTTCAAAGGGCCATCTTTACATGTGTATCGAATTAGTTCTTTTATTTTAGAGAGGTGAAGTAAAATATCACAACTTTCCTCCGTTTTTGTGTACCTGATATTATCCAAATACCATTAATCGTCTTGAATTCAAACTGTCATTGGTACATATTAACTGTTTTTCCTCCCTTTTCTTCTCCCCTTTCAGAAGTTTCATCCCATTATTCAGTTATCCCGTTTTGCCCACTGTCCTCCCCCCC